CACCCCGTCCCGGGAGGCGCACGCACCGCCTTCGGAAGACACCCCAAGTCCACACGCCACATGCCCGCCCCCGGGGCGCCCACGCCCCGCCCTGAAGGCTCATGCCCCGTCCCCGGACGCCTCAAGCCGGGTCCCTGGGAGACTCAAGCTCTGCCTCCCGGACCCGGGAGCAGCGGAGCTGCCGGGAGGGCGCGGTTTAATCACAGGCTGTTGGCCGGGTACGAGGGCACCTCCAGGCACCAGAGCCGCAAGTCCCCGCGGTCCGACTCAGGTGTCGCTCTGGGCTGGTGGCCCAGTGGAACTTAGGACGGGGAGAGCTGGCAGCGTCTGCCAAGAGCTAGGCGAGGGGCGCTTACGGGAGTTCTCACTGAGACGTCAGGGTCTGGGTAGGCAGGGCCACTAACGGGAGAAGGTGCGCGTATCGTGAAACCCGTATCCAGATGAGACCCGAAGGAAGGGCCGTGCACAAAATGTGAGGAGGGCCTTTCCTCGTGGAGGCATTATGGGCGTCTGTGTCTGGATTTTCCACCGCCCCGGATCTGTGGGGGATCGAGTTTCTCTTGCCTTTCCAGTCCGGCACACAGTAGGAGCTTAATAACTGTTTGTTGAGTGAATGTTCAATATCGAACTCACATACAATCCCGTATTTCATTCGTGTGTTCCACAAGCAGGAAATTGTGCATCAGGCATTAAGGACATAGAGCGTCAAAGGAATTCCCAAGCTAGTGGCCATCACTAGGGTCATTCTGATACATCTGGATAATTGCTATGGTTTGAGACAGCTGGGAACGTCAAGGGATAAAGCCGCTGCTCCTTAAGTTCTCCTGCCCAGGTGACTTGTTGCCAGGATGATGTGGAATTCTCCACCTCCGACCCAACCCCCACCCACCCACACCAGCCTCACTCTCCTGCCTCAGCACCTCCTGCCTCCACCAAGCTCCCCACGTCCTCTCTCCATACCAGCTGGGTTAATTTTCTGGGGCTGCTGTAACAAATGGCCATAGATGGGGTGGCTCAAAACAGAAGAAATATGTCCTCTCCCAATACTGGAGGCCAGACGTCTGAAATCAAGGTGTCCACAGGACTGTGCTCCCTCCAGAGGCTCTAGCAGAGGACCCTCCCCTGCCTCTTCCAGCTTCTGGTAGCCTGAGGTGTTCCTGGGCTTGTTGCCACATCACTCCAGTCTCTGCTTCCATCTCCACGCAGCCTCCTCCCCTGTGTGTCTGTCTCTTCTAAAAGCACCTGTCATTGGATTAGGGACCACCAGGTAATCCAGCATGGGCTCATCTCCACACCCACCCCTTTTGCCAAATGAGGTCACATTCATAGAGTCTGGGGATTAGGACATGGGACATAGACATATCTTTTAGGGGACTGCCATTCAGCCCACAACACCAGCAGCCAGAGTGAGCTTCCTAAAATGCAAGGTCACCCTGTCCACAGGCCAACCTCGGGTCTTACCACCTTGCCACTCGTGGCAGGGGCCTTGGGCAGCTCTCACAAAGGTTATGGTCTTCCAGCTCTGTGTCTTTGCACATCTGCCTGGTGAAGGAATTCCTGCCCCACATGCTTCTCCCCAGCTTGCTCTTGGCCGTAAGTGCATAGGTGTGCATGTGTGTGTGCATGTGGACAGGGGCTCAGGGCTCCCAGCCGCCTGTGCTGCTAACACCTGTTAGCTGTCTGTGCCCAGGCTGTGAGCAGCCCCCCGTCCACCCACCCAGCCTGAGGCTGAAAGCTGGGCAATCAGCATGCCCACCTCCCCTCAGTCCAGTGGGTCAAGGCCGGGTCCTGAGATCCACCAGACAGTGCCCTGGGCCAAGCCAGCTGCTGCTAGATCCGGTAGGTTCG